GGGAGCCGAGAGCCGAGCTCGGAGCTCGGAGCTCCCAACCGGGGCGGCTGCGCTTCCCCGTCCCCTTCCCCCCAACTTCCCCTTCCCCCCCGCTTCCCCATCCCTTTTCCCCATCCCCTTCCGCATCCCTTTTTATCCCCGCCTTCCCTCCCCCCCGCTCTGTTATCCCCCGTCCCGCAGTTCGTTCTCCGGGTGCGCTTCCCCTCCTTTCCCCCCCCCCGCCCATCCCCTCCCGCACCGCCCCGCAGCCCCGTCCCGCAGCTCACGTTCTCTTTCTGCCTTCAGTCCCGCACCGTTGCGTCTCTCGGCCTTCGAGTCGGCACGGAGCGCTGCGGGGCGCGGGGTGAAGCTCTGCCCCGCGGGACCTCGGCAACAGGAGGAAGAAGAGGAGGAGGAGGAAGAAGAGGAGGACGACCTTCAGCCTCCGAGCTTCGCCTTCTACGGGTAAATATCCGCGCTCTGGGCTGCGGGACCCGCGGCGCCCATCGTTCCGACGCGGTGCTCGCTGCCCGCGCCGCCGTCCCGTCCCCTGTTCCGCCCTCCTGTTGCTGCACGCGGCTCCCTGCGCCCCCATCCCCTCCCCCTTCTCTCCCGTGCCCTGGGACGATGCTCAGCCTTTAGGGACGGATCTGAGCCGCGGTTTTCCCATCGGCTCTGTGATCGCTGCCGGTCTGCGGCTCCGTGCCGTGCCATGAACGGCTCTTTGTGTTCACCCGGACCTTTCGCAGCAGAACATCTGAAGCTGTGTTTGCGGGGAGTTCTGTGCTCAGGCGGATCGATTTCCGGGCTGGAAGCAGAGCTGCCTTCCTGCTTGCAGACAGAAACGCTGCTGTGCGCTCAGCACCGCGGCCGGGCTGCGCTGTGCTTTGTGCGGGGCTCAGCGCGGCTCCTGGATGCCGGCAGGGCTGCGAATTCAGCACTCGGAGGAGCAGCCGTGCAGCCACGGCGCGATGCTGGCTGCGATGCTGGCTGCGTGAGGGCAGTGCTGTGCCTCGCATTGCGTTGCTGCTCGGAGGGGATCTTCCTTCCCCCATCCAGCGGGCGGTGCAGGCGGGCAGCTCTCTGGGACGGAGCTCTCAGAGGGTTTCTCCCTTTTCTCCTTTCTTTGGCTCTCCTGGCACTCAGAGCAGCCGTGCTGTGCGCCCCACGCAGCCCCACGCACAGAGCAGCGTTTGGCTGCAGCCCCGAGCTCCCATCGCAGGGCTGCCTGGTGCTGACGACACGAAGGACGGCCGCAAACAAACGGCGCCGTGTTCCTCATCGGTGTCCTTTTGGGATCTGCGCTCACGTCCCTGCCTTGCCTCGCCTCTCCTTTGCGTGGGCTGCAGTTAACCCTGCTGTGCTGCCTTGCAGGCCGGGAGTGGATGAGCAGCAGCAGCAGGAGGAGGAGGAGGAGGAGGGCGGCTCTGTGACGGCGGCAGGGAATCGAGATGTCCCACGCTTTGAAGCAGGTGTTCAATAAGGACAAAACCTTCCGGCCCAAACGTAAATTCGAGCCGGGCACGCAGCGCTTCGAGCTGCACAAGAAGGCTCAGGCGTCGCTGAACGCCGGGCTGGACTTGAAGGTGGCCGTGCAGCTGCCGCCGGGCGAGGAGCAGAACGACTGGGTGGCCGTGCACGTGGTGGACTTCTTCAACCGCATCAACCTGATCTACGGCACCATCAGCGATTACTGCACCGAGCAGTCCTGCCCCGTCATGTCGGGAGGCCCCAGGTATGAGTACCGCTGGCAGGACGAGCACAAGTACAGGAAGCCCACGGCCCTGTCTGCCCCGCAGTACATGAACCTGCTGATGGATTGGATCGAGGTGCAGATCAACAACGAGGACATCTTTCCCACCAACGTCGGTGAGTGCGGCTCTGCCTGCGGCGGGGCTGTTGCTTTGGGCACGGGGATGGGATCACAGGACTGCTGAGGTTGGAAAAGACCCTAAAGATCATGTGGGGAAGGAGCTTGATAGATGAAAAACTTAACATGAGCCAGCAGGGTGCCCTTGTGGCTCGGAAGGCAAATGGGATCCTGGGCTCCATCAAAAGAGGGGTGGCCAGCAGGGACAGGGAGGTGATTGTCCCCCTCTGCTCTGCTCCTGTGGGGCCCCATCTGGAATCCAAGTGTGGAGCCCCCAGTACAGAAAAGACAGGGAGCTGTTGGAGAGGGACCAGAGGAGCCACAAAGATGAGCAGGGGCTGCAGCACCTCCCCTATGAGGACAGGCTGAAGGAGCTGGGCTTGTTCAGCCTGGAAAAAGAAGGCTGCGGGGTGAATCATTGCAGCCTTTCAGTACCTAAAGGGAGCCTACAGACAGGAGGGGAATCAACTCTTTGAGAGGGTAGATAACAGCAGGACGAAGGGAAATGGTTTGGAGTTGAGGGAAGGGAGATTGAGGTTGGATGTCAGGGGGAAATTCTTTACAGAGAGAGTGGTGAGGTGCTGGAACAGCTGCCCAGAGAGGCTGTGGATGCCCCGTCCATCCTTGGACCAGATTGGATGGGGCCCTGGGCAGTCTGGTGTAGCATTAGGTGGGAAGGTTGGTGGCCCTGCATGTGGCAGGGGATTGGAGATTCATGATCCTTGAGGTCCCTTCCAACCCTGGCAATTCTGTGATCACTGAGTCCAACCATGACCCAACCATCCTACCCCAACTCCAACAGCACTCTGCTAAATCACAGCCCTGAGCACCACATCCAGGCGGTTTTTAAGCACATCCAGGGATGGTGACTCAGCCACCTCCCTGTGCAGCCCATTGCAGTGCTTAACAACCCTTCCTGTAAAAAAGTTCTTCCTGATACCCAACCTAAACTTACCCTGGTGCAACTTGAGGCCGTTTCCCCTCATCCTGTCACCAGTGAGAAGAGACCAGCCGTGCTGTGCTGCAGTCACCTCTCAGATATTGGGAGAGAGCAATAAGGTCCCCCCCCCCCCCCCCCCCCCCCCCCCCCCCCCCCCCCCCCCCCCCTCCTCTTCCCACACTAAACATCCCCACTTCCTTCAGTCTCTCCTCATAGCCCATATTCTCCAAGCCCTTCCCCAGCCTCGTTACCTTTCTTTGGACCTGCTCCAGCACCTCCACGTCCCTTCTGTACTGAGCTGCCCAAAACTGAACCCAGCACTCGAGGTGAGGCCTCACGGGTGCAGAGCACAGGACGGAGGTGTCCCCGAGGTCACCCAGTGGGTGCATCCCCAGCGCTGCCCGTAGTTCTTCAGCAAAGAGCTGCAGACCCCTCGGTGTAGGAGGAACCGCAGCGGGTTTTCTTCAGCCCTTTCCTTTGGGGAGCTGAGCTGCTCTGCAGCAGAGCTCGGCGCTTTGTGACGCAGAGGGGCGGAGGGGAGCAGCTGTGGGATGTGCTGGTGCTGCCCCCAGGTACGCCCTTCCCCAGGAACTTTCTCCCCGTGGTGAAGAAGATCCTCTCGAGGCTCTTCCGCGTCTTCGTCCACGTCTACATCCATCACTTCGACCGCATCACGCAGATGGGCTCGGAGGCGCACGTGAACACGTGCTACAAGCACTTCTACTACTTTGTGAAGGAGTTCAACCTCATCGACACCAAGGAGCTGGAGCCTCTGGTGGGTGGGGGGGGTGGGGGGGCTGTGCCTG